CCATAGCCTATCTGGGGCCTTCTACTTCCACCCATGGCACCCATGAGAAGTGGTAGCAGAATGACGGGACTTTTCTGTGCTTCCTTGCAGTGTAGCGGTCCTTTGTGTTGGTGTGGTCATTACCATCCTTAGAGCAGCTGCAGTCACATGCAGACAGCTTCCATGTGATTAAGCATGTTAACACTGTCTTGGGGAAAGAGGGAAGGTGCCAGATTATACAGGGTAAACAGGTAAGGGAGTGGGGGTATTATAGCTGCTTTTAAGTTACTTGAGGACTGCTTGGTCCTGTAGCTGCCTTCAAGTCTCTTATGTTCTGTAAGTAATCCAAATAAACCCATTGGTTCACCAAGCTGGACTTAAATGGAATGCCTTCTGGTCTGCTGGTGCCTTGGTTTTCTGTGTGTGGTATATGTTGGCTTGGTCCTCTGCTTAGCGACAGTTACAGGGTTCTGCCTTGGGTGATAGGACATACAACTGAAGCTGAGCTGTCGGCCTTAAGGGGACTTGCATGAGGGAAGAACGACATGTGGGAAAGCTCATGCAGGTGACATTACCTATGTTAGCCTCTGATTTGGTAGGAAATAATGAGACAAAATAAAGACACTGATTTGCAAGGTTTTTGTCTTAATTTTATTGCCGTAAGACACTGAATGGTGCGGCCTATAGAAGAAAGCATTTAATTTGAGGGCTCACAGCTCCAGAGCATTAGTGTCTGTGACCATCATGGTGGAAGGCTGGGCAGCAGGCACGTGTGCAGGAGCAGTACTGGAATGGTCACATCGTGAGATAGTTACGGGTGGTGTGGACTCTTAAACCCCTAGCGACACACATCTTCCAAAAAGGCCACACCTGATCCTGAACACTTGAAAGTGGAGACCAAGCATTCAAATATGAGCCTATGAGTCTCATTCAAACGACAGTTGTGTGTGTATAGGTGTGCACACATGGAAGCTGGAGACTTAATGAGGCATTAGTGCTTTCCCACTGCTGTGGAGGTAGCAGCTCTCAAATCTCCACTACACCCTTAACAAGATGGTCAATGTTGCCTGCAGGTGAGGGCCATGCAGGGTGGTCTGAGGCCCCGCATTGAATTACGTTTGTTGGTCCTTACTAATAAGCAAAACTTGGGCTTTAGTGGATACCAGGGACAACTGTACTTCCATTTATGGCAGACACCAGGAACGAGCAGCAGCAACAGATGAACACAGAACAGTACTAGCAAAAAGGACTAAGCTTATTTTGTGGGTGAGTAATTCTTTCCCACTCTTGTTAGTACACTGTATTTTCCTCCTATAAGAAAACTGGGGGGCTGGAGAGATGGCTCAGAGGTTAAGAGCACTGACTGCTCTTCCAGGGGTCCTGAGTTCAATTCCCAGCAACCATATGATGGCTCACAACCATCTACAATTCAATCTGGTGCCCCCTTCTGGTATGTAGGCAGAACACAGTATATGTAATAAATAAATAAATCTTTAAAAAAAAAAACTGGGAGGCTGGAAAGATGGCCCAGTGGTTAAGAGCACTGGCTGCTCCTCCAGAGGACCCTGGTTCAATTCCCAGCAACCACATGGCAGCTCACAGCTGTCTATAACTCCAGTTCCAGGGGATATGAAGCCCTCATGCCACAATGTACATAAAATAAAATTAAATAAATTTTAAAAATGCAGAGCTGGGAGCTGAAGAGAAGGGTCGGTGGTTAAGAACACTTGTTGCTCCTGCAGAACACACCCAGGTTTGGGCCCCAGAACCCACATGGTGCTTTACAACCATCTGTGAGTCCAGTTAGAGAATCCAATGTCTGATAAATTAGGGCACCAGGTACACACACACGGTGCACATACATGCATTTTTAACAAAATATTTAAAAATTAGAACAGGAAGGTAATACTGCTGGGATACACCGTGTGCACAACCACTTGGAGAATTCTGTTTGAGAAATGTATTTGAGTAAATTAGAGCCTATAAAGTTGATGATAGATTACTGTGTCACCCCAAGACCTATTTAGAAAAAAAAAGACGTGTGTGAGTGTTTGCCTGTATGCATGTTTGACTGTTTGCCTGTATGCGTATACAGGTGGATGTGTACCACATGCATACAATGCCCACAGAGGCCAGAAAAGGGGATCAGATCGCTTGGATCTGGAGTTACACTTGTGAGCCACAATTCACATGTGGGTGTTGGCTTTGAATTGAACCCAGGTTCTTTGCAAGAGAAGCAAGTGCCCTTAACTGCTAAGCCACCTCTCCAGCCCAGGCTCTTTGAACATGAAAGTATGATTGCGTAGACTAGATGGATCATGGAGGGTTAGAGTTCAGAATGGTGCCTCTAATCTATGCTGCTGTACCCAAAACTGCTGTACCCTACATTGCTCTTTTGACAGAAAACCTGTGCAAGTGATGGTTTTTTGTTTTTGTTTTATTTTTTTAGATCTTGCTGGATTTTGTAGTTTCCTCATAGTTGCTGAGTCCCAAGACCAATTCTCACTTGCTGTGAGTCAAAGGCTGTGCAGCTTCAGAACCCCTGTCCACCCTTTGTATAAAGGGCCCACTATTTAATGCTAGCCTCTGAGTTCAGCAAAGCATCTGGAAGAACAGAAAAAAACAGCATTTAGACACTTTGAATGAAGATGCCTGTGTGGGTGGAAAAAAGAACAATTAGGTTATTGAATGAAAATCTCAGTGCCAGAGGTAGGCTATGAATTGTTGGCCTGAGGGCCAATAAAACCCCCTCCCCCCATACAGGCTTTTGCCATTATTGTTGTTGAGACAGGGTTTCCCTAAATAGCTCTGGTTGTTGCGGAACTCACAATGTGGACCAGGCTGTCATTGAACTTAAAAACATCCACCTGCCCTTGTTGCCTGAGTAATGATTAAAGTTGATTACTGGGATTAAAGGCAGGTGCCACCAGGCCTGTCTTTAACAAAGTATCTGTTAGACTTAAGTCTTTTGTCTGCTACTTGCTTCCTATGTCTCTGTTCTGTTCTCATTTTCACCTGTATTCATTTTATTTTAAATTGGTCCCATTGTACCATTGCTTGCAGTCTTAATAGGGATGTCCCAGTGTGTGTGTGTGTGCGTGCGTGCGTTTGTGTAGATCTAAGGCCTCATATATGCTAGGTAAATGCTCTACCGGTGAGCTACACTAGCCCAGGCTTTTTGCATCTAACATCTAACTCATTTTGTTACTTTAGGGGTTGGTTCACTTGATGGTGTTGGTATGTTCTGAGAAATAGGACATTAGGCAGTTACATTGTTCTGTGATCATAGAATACTTAAAAGCCTGCTATGTCTTTAGGTGTTGTATTTGGTCTGTCATCAACTGAAGGGTCATTATTCTATGTGACTTTATCACAGTGTACCTTCAAGTAGTGTACCGATTTATCTAAGAACACAACTCTTGGAATAGATATTACCATTTTTTCTCTCCATGTTACTTGAGTAACTATTGCCATAATTTTCCTGAATATTAAACTTCATAATCTATTGAACTGTGGCTTATAAAAGAAATTTGAAATTACCATTTACAGTTAGTTCTTCAGTTGCTCAGAGTCTGCATCTAGTATCATTTCCTTCTCAGAAAAGACTCCCTGTAACTTGTTGGCATGCAACTGCTTGCTCCTGATTGCAGCAAGCTCAGGTTTTGAAGGATGCCTTGCTGCACATGTATACAAGTCTGGCTTGACTGGCCCTTTTCTCTTACTACTTTAAAAGACATTCTAATTCCTGAGATGGCTCAGCTGGTAAAGGTACTTTATCACACTTGGCAACTTCACCTTGAGTGGTAGGACCCACTTGGCGGAGAGAACTAGCTCTCACAACTTGTCCCGACTCCACAAGAGAACCTACCTTCTAACCCCCAATACATAAATGTAATAAAAATATCTTAAGACATGTCATTCTTTTCCAGTTTTTTTGGGGGGGCAAATCTGTGGCTTATCTTTGTATGAGCATGTGAAGTGGGAAAGCACCAGGCCACAATCGTGACCCCACGAGTGTACTGAGACTGGGACCTGGCTGTGACCACGAGGGGATGGGAAGAGCTCAGCTCCTGAACATATTCTGAAGTTGGTCTGTCAGATCCTCATACACTGAACGCAGTGAGAAGAAAAGTCCAGTTGACTCTGGTCACTGGCCCAAATTCAGGATAGGTGGGTGGGGCAGTAGGTACACAGTGCTCAAATCCAATCCAGGAAAAACAAAAACAAAAAGACCTGCAATACACGCGAACTTGTTGAATGCCCGCTCCTTGGGTGGAGAACCAGGGGCCCAAGGTAGGGTAGGCAGGGAAGGCCCGTGTACACCGCTTCTTTGCTGGGTAAAGCAGGAACTGACAGGCTGACTCTAAAAGACAGAGCGAGCTGAAGGAGGGATGAAGTGACAGTGACTAGGGTCTGCGCAACCGATGGACTGAAGCAGCTTTTAGGCCGGCAAGAGGACATAGTGAAGCTATAGGGAAGGGAGCAAGCAGCTCAGCCGTGAGTCTTCACATCTTTTAAAATCACGCTACACCGAGACACTTAAAATTACCCAATCAATGCAACCACCACTACCCTGGCGCAGCCTGGCACTGTGCCTCTTACGATGGCCCGGCCTCGGGGGGTGGACAGCTGACCCGGTCAGGCAGGTGGGCCAACCCCTTCCCACCGGACTTAGCGCCCAGACACCCTTCTGAGCTTTCTTAGCAGATGTACAGGGGCATAGGCCGCGAGCCTCCTGGTGGCCAAGAAACTGATGCCCAGATCAAAACCTCTTTCTACGCCTCGGTTTCAGACTGGGGTCCGGAAGCCACCTCCCCTTTAAGAACTTGCTGCGCCCTCCCGCCTCCTTTTTCTCGCGCGTAGTTCTTCCAGAACTACCCCTCCCTCTGGAGACGCATCTGCGTCACCGCGTCGCTGCGTCCTCGCGCCTGCGCTATGGAGCCACTCGAGCAAATGACTGAGACTGGCGGTGGCCTTGTCGGGAAGGGGCGGGACGAGGGCGGTCTCGTAACCCGTCAAGATGACTTCCGCTCCTGCGCCGCGGACCTTCGTGACTGTATGCCTACCGCGCTCTGGGGCTTGTGACAGAGCTCTGCCACCACCGGAAAAGGTGGGCGAAGCGAGCTGCCGCATCCGGCGGTCTGTGTCACAGCAGCAGCACAACGCCGGTACTAGGTTTCCTGAGGCTGAGGGTCAGGCAAGCGAGTGCGGCGCACTGAGGATCGTGACCGGCCAGATCCTCGGCCCACAGGGACGGATCCGTCTCCCCTGCCGTAGTCCAAGGCTGTCGCTTGCAGACAGCGAGTATCCTGGAGGCCAGCTTGCGAGGGCCAGTTTGAGTGTAATTTAAGTGACATTTTCCCATAAGAGCCAGTACCAGCTCGGCTTCGACTCCCGCACAGCTGACTGTAGAGCGCCAGAGTTAGTCTCATCTTCAGAACCTTAGTTACCGTCGAAGGTCTTGATGGCCTTCGGTGGTAACGAGCTAGCTAGCTTCCTTAGCCTGGGAGGCATCCTTCAGAGACACTCTAGGGCCCTTGCCATAGTCCCCAGTACTTAGAGGCCCCCAGTAAGCAAGACTGAAGCGATGGATGTTCGTCCTGCGTCTCCGCGTTCCTCGTTTCTAGATATGGACCAGAAACTCTCACAGTTAATAGAGGAGCTCACAACGTCAGGAGAACCCCAGCTGAACGCTCAGAAAATGAAGGAACTGAAGAAAATTTGCAAGTATGTATTTAGGTTAAACGTGTAAAATAACTGGCCCACTGAGCACCCACACTGTTTGAACCTCTCCGCCCGCTTGTACATCTCTGCCGCCTCCTGCCTTCACCACCTGGGAAGGAGTTACCTGACCACTAGGGCATGGAAGCAGGAGGGTCATGAGTTCCAGGCCAGGGTGGGCTACATAGTGGGACCTTGTGTAAGAAATCTGAAAACCACTAAAAGAGTTCTGGGGCTGTAATCTCAGGGCACATTGGTCCAGAATGTAGCCCAGTCTCTAAGCTTGGTGCCTCTGACCATTTCCAGATATTATAAAGCAACAATACTATGCCAGTAAAAGTATAGTACCTTCTTCACTGTTGGAGTAAGGAGTGTGATTGAATGAGTGCCCGCCTGCCTGTCCTTCCCCCCAAGCACCACAGGTGAACTGTGCCACCGAGCTACCCCTACCCCTGCTCTCCCTTTCTTTTTTCTTTATTTGAGACAAGAGTCTTATGTAACCCCTGTTGACCTCTTACTGTGTAGCTAAGGCCAGCTGTGCATTTCTAATCTTCCTGCCTCCACTTACCAGGGGCTGGGTTGGGTTTATAGGCATGTGACATCAGTGTTCTCTCTGTTTTAAGGTAGTTGTTCTTATCCTTAGTAGTCCCTCCAAAGGAAGCACCCTCCCTTGCCACTTCAGGAAGTCATATTTAGTGAGGAAGCAAAATTCTCCATTGCCTTGGTCACAAAAGGAGAAAACTTAAGTGATTCTTAATGAAGTGGTAGAATATTTACATTTCAATAAAACCTCTTGTTATAATATTGCGTGAAGGGGACCTCGGCGGCTTCCACAGACACACCAGGCAGACGGAGCTTAACTGGGAAGTTTTATTAGAAAGGGGAGGGGATGGAGAAAGGGAAGAGAAGAGGGAGGCAGAAGAGCCCTGTCTTCCCCTTCAGAGGAACAGTGAGAAAGAGGATGGAGTTTTTCTCTTGAAGCCCTTTTGCACCTTCTACGTAGTGACATAGCAGTCTTAGAACCCTGGGCTGGCCAGGGCACTGCCTGGGTGCATGCTGCCAGGTGACAGGGGCAGGCAGTCATGATTCCTGGATCCTCACACCTCTAGTCCAGACCTGGTTTTGCTGCACACCCAGAAAAACTGTAAACTCTGATTACACAGGGTGTTGTAGAGAGAAAGAGGAGCCACCCAGAGGACTGTATCACTTCCACTTTAGAAGAGGCTAGGGCTTTGCACTGACACTTGGGTTCAGAGGACACCTCTGGAGGGGTTCTGGGTTTTTGTGTTTCAGAACAAAGACTTGAACAGAGACATGTGGATGGTAGCAAGTAAAGCAAGAGAATTTATTAAGAATGAATACCCTTCCATAGGAGGAAGCTGGCTAGAGAAGGGAGAAAGTTTAACGTCTCCAACATCCCTGCTATGCAAAGAGTTAGGCTCCTGTGTTATCTTATTGTGAGCTTTTCCTGCTCCATCTGTTGTAATTCTAGTATTACTAGTTCAAGCATTCCACATCTGTGGTAGTTTGAATAAGAATGGCTTATATGTTTGAATGTGTGGCCCCCAGTTGGTGGAATCCTTTGGGAAGGATTAGGAGGTGTGGCCGTGTTGGAGATGTGTCACTGGGGGCGGACTTTGAGGTTTTACAAGCTCACTCCATTCCTAGTTAGCTTTCCTTCTGCTTCATGTTGTCTCAGGACGTGAGCTCTCAGCTATTGCCCCAGCATTACACCTTCCTACCATGATGATCATGGACTCACCTTCTGAAACCATAGGCCCCAGTAAACTTTCTTTTCTAAGTTTCCTTGATTGGGTGTCTTTTTTTTTTTTTTTTTTTTTTTTGGTTTTACGAGACAGGGTTTCTCTGTATTGTTTTGGAGGCTGTCTGTCCAGCCCAGCCTCGAACTCACAGAGATCCACCTGCCTCTGCCTCCCAAGTGCTGGGATTAAAGGCATGCGCCACCACCACCCGGCATGATTGGGTGTCTTATCATAGCAATAGAAAAGTAATAAGACAATGCCTCATTAGCATTGTAATCCCCCAGGGGTGTATTTTAATTATGTAAGCATTATACAAGGCTGCCTGGGCCTCATGTTCCACCTGGGATCTGTGGTTTTAGGGACCCTTTAGGGAAGAAAGGGAGCCAAAGAAGGGAAATCTGTTAAGATGTGAGGGGTTTCCTGTGCGAGCCTGGCAACCGGAGTTTAATCCTCCTACCCTTGTGAAGGTGGGAGGAGAGAACCAGCCCCACAGAGTTGTCCTTGTGTCTCCACATGCATGTTACGGATGCACACCACACACACATATCATGAGTCAAACACACAACAATAATTTTTTAAGTTAAAAAAATGATTATCTGTAACTACTTCCATGATATCTCAGGGCAGGTAAGAGGGATCACAAAACTGCTATCTAGTGACTGCGGAGGAGAGTTTGGATTCTCCAGTTTACACTGAAATTGCTGTATCTTAGAAGACATTAGAAGAAAAGAAATTAAAAATGCCCAAACAAGAGTAACATGCTGACTACAGCCAATGGCCTTGATCCCATTTGGTGTCTGTTGCTGTGGTAAACACCATGACCAAAAGGAACTTGGAGGGAAATTGGTTATATCATTGTACATCTTATAGTCTATCAGGACAGGGAGTCAAGGCAGGAACCTGGAGGCAGGCAATGAAGCAGAAAACACTAGCTCCTTTGACTTTTGAGCATTCCCACCAACCCTGGTTATATACAAGTTTGTTTAGTAAGGGACCCTGGATTATTGCTTCAGTCTGTGTTTTAGTTGCTTTTCTATTACTGTCATAAAATCACTATGACCAGAAGCAATTTGCAGGGGAAAGGGTTTATTTCATCTTAAAACTTGACCACATTGTACCCGGAGGGAAATCAGGGCAGGAGCTTGAAGTAGGAAGGAGGAAGGAAGCAGGACCACTTAGGATGCTGCCTAGTGGCCTCCTCCCTATGGCTTGTTCAGTCTGCTTTCTTACACAGTTTAGGATTGCCTGCCCGGGGTGGGTCACCCCCAGTGGGCTGGGCCCTCCTACTTCAATATTAATTTAAAAATGCCCCTCAGACTTTCTTGTCCACAGGCAATCTGGAGACATTGTCTCCACTGAGATTTTTTTCAGATAATTCTGACTTGTGTCAAGTTGACCAAAACCAAACTCAACAATCAGGACATGCAGAGAACAAACTATATTGGAAAGAAATTTAACATTTCCCAACCACATTAATAATTTCCTGAGGCACCTCAATTTTTATTGTTAAAGGAGGTGTGTCGCTGGGGCAGGCATTGTGGCTCCAAAAGCCTTGTGCTATCCCCAAGCTCTCTCTGCCTCCTGCTTGTGGGTTAAGGTGTGTACTCTCAGCTAATGTTGTGGACTCTAACCCTCTGAAACTCTTAAGACCAAAATAAACTTGCCTTGGTTGTGGTGTCTTAGCATAGCAATAGAGAAGAAACTAAGACAGGGAGCAGCTTTTCTGGTTTTATTGTAGTTGACAGGTTTCTTAACTTTTCATCCCTTAAGGAGGTTTTCAATCTCCAGTCTACATCTGTGGGTGCCTGCTGGCCGTTATGATCCCAATTAGTGGGTTCCTGATCAGGGAAGGTATTCACTCAGAATGGACAGAGGTGAGAGTTTGGGTAAATAATCTATTGGTATACTTCCTCTTTTCCTTCCAGATCCTCTACTTTTTTTCAGGAGTACAAATAGTTTAGATCCTTCATTCTTGGCTAAACTTCCTACCAGCCAGTCTATATTGAGAACAGAGGATGGCACAGTAAAACATTAGCCTCTTTTTCTTTAAGTTCTCAGGATCGAATTTGTTTCTTTACATTTTTGAAATGTATTATTTGTACATGTGCGCACGTTAGTGCACATGTGGTTCAAACAGGTGTCTGTGGGGTATCTCTGTACCCTTGTGGAGGTCAGAGGACGACTTTGTGGAGTTGGTTCTCTCCTTCCACCTTTGTGTGGGTTCCAGGGATCTAACTCAGATCTCCAGACGTACCCAGTAAGCACATCCACCTGCCAAGCCATTTTACAGCCCAGGATCAAACATAATTTCAGTTCTTGAGGATGCTCTGTAGCCAGGCACCCAAGGGTGTATCTTAAGAGGAGAGACTCGGAGCAGCCTGTGGGTGTAGGAAGATACTCCCCTCTGACTTGTGTGGACAGTCCTCAGGAGACTTGAGGGATTCGGATAGCCCCGAGCCCATCACACTGTAAATGAGCAGGAAGGACAAGGCAAAAGAGGATAGGAAACGGCTGGCACCGGGAAGCTATCTAGATGTCCAGAGCTGCTAGTGAGGAGTTCTGAAAAGAAGGGCAGGACTGGAGAGAGGCAAGCAGGGCTTCCGTGGTGCAGGAAAGTACCAGGAGGCAGCAGCATACAAGAGAGCTAGAGACCAGATAGATCCCAGACTGGAGCCACTGCTGCCCCGAGCCAGCTGGACAGATGCTTGCATAATTGAGTCTCTGAGCATCCACCCAGCACCCTCTCTCCCCTATGCCTGCCATCACCTAAGCATTGGGGCAAGCGAAATGGGGAGATAAAAGAGATCGCTGAGGGACGTGTGGGTGTGGTTTAATGGGCTCCTTTGAAACTTCTTGTCTGCTGGGCATTGGTGGCGCACGCCTTTAATTCCAGCACTCGGGAGGCAGAGGCAGGCGGATGTCTGTGAGTTCGAGGCCAGCCTGGTCTACAAAGCAAGTTCCAGGAAAGTCTCCAAAACAATGCAGAGAAACCCTGTCTCAAAAAACCAAAAAAAAAACCAAAAAAAACCTTATTGTCCTTGTCAGGGAGTTGCCACAGGACATGGTGGTATGTGACTTTTCTTTCTTTTTTTATGGTTTTTTTTTGTTTTGTTTTTGTTTTTTTGTTTTTCGAGACAGGGTTTCTCTGTGGCTTTGGAGGCTGTCCTGGAACTAGCTCTTATAGACCAGGCTGGTCTCGAACTCACAAAGATCCGCCTGCCTCTGCCTCCCGAGTGCTGGGATTAAAGGCGTGCGCCACCAACGCCCGGCTTTTTTGTGTTTTGATTCAGGGTTTTACTGTGTAGCCTTGGCTGGCTTTGAACTCACTAGGCTGGCCTCAGATTCATAGTGGTCCACTTGGCTCTGCCTCTGGAATGCTGAGATTAAAAGTATGTGCTACTACACCCAGCCCCTGATGTGTGACTTTTGAAACATACCTTTGTTCATTCATGAAGGGCTACCTTCTAACCTCTGCTCACGACCAACCAGATTATTTCGTGTGCGTATTCAAGCAGCTGGCATGCTGATGGCTGAGTGGGTAAAGCACTTATGTTATAAGCTTGGCAACATGCGTGGGCTATGGAAATGAGAGAACCAACTCCTGAACATCGTCTTCTGATCTCCACATGCATGCCATGGCGTGTGTGTACCTGTGCTAACACACACACTAGTAGTGCATCTTCTTTAGAAAGGAAAGAAGAGTATACTTCCAAGAGAAGCTTATTTACACAGTACAAGCTTTCTGTGTATGTTTGTTATATACAGTTCTATATACACCTTCATGCATCACATGACTCATCAGCATCTTAAGTTTCCACCCAGGGTTGTGTATTTTAGTGCTAGCATGACTCTTTTGGTTACTCTTAGCCATTCTAGAGTACCTCTGCCCCTGTGTTAATGGCACCAGCATGATTTTCAGCTAATCTTGTAAGGCTTTGTACAAGACCTTCTGAACCCCACTCTCTGCTCTACTTTCCTGCCTTACTGCTGCACTGTGAAGGACCTGCACACCCTGTGGATGTCAACTGTGAAAGCAGCTGGGGACTACCCAGGGTAGACATGTTTCAACAAAACTCACTGACATTTGTGGGTTTAATTATTTTATGTGTATGGGTGTTTTGCTTGTGAGTGTATTTGTGTACCATGTTCATGCCTGCTGCCCAGGGAGGCCTGAAGAGTATGTAGGATCTTCTAGAACTAGACTTAGGGATAGTTATGAGCCTCCATGTGAGTACTAGGAATCAAACCCAGTACTAGGGCTTCTAGCCACTGAGCCATCTCTCCAGCCCCTTATACTTGATGCTTAATGTAATGTTCATATGTCAAAAAGTGTTCTTCTATGTGTTTCCACCATGGTATTCATCTTTGCAGTGCTGGAGATCCAGCTGAAGACCTCACATGCTAGCCAGGCGCTTTACCACCGCACCACATCGATGGCGGCTTTAGCCATTGACTCAGGCCAGTACTGAAACAGGACAGGAGTGGGCACCTTTGGTTCTTAGACACTAACATGTCCACTCAGCTTTAGAAGGGAAGAATGAAGGTTGGATGCTAAGCACAGTCCCTGTCACTTGTAAATGTAGTGTCCCTACACAAAGAGTGACACTTACTTGTCCTTCATGAGTGAGCATTTGGTGAGGCTGGCTTGTGCTCCCAGGTCTTCAGAGGAGCAGCTGAGTCATGCTTACCACCTGCTGAAGACACAGCTGACCCAGGACCATGCTGAGATACGCCTCTCGGCCTTCCAGATCGTGGATGAGCTCTTCACCAGGTCTCATCAGTTCAGAGTGCTGCTCGTTTCTGACTTTCAGGAATTCCTAGAGCTCACACTAGGCACAGATAATGACCATCCCCTGCCACCTCCACGGGAGGCAGCCCAGAGGCTAAAGCAAGCAGCCATGCAGGCTGTGGAAGGTTGGAATGAGAAGTTTGGGGAGGCCTATAAGAAGCTAGCCTTGGGCTACCACTTCTTAAAACACACCAAAAAGGTAAGTGGGTTTTGGGCAGAGCAGTCTGCTTCCTTGGCGTGGGTGAGACTGGCTAGCTAGTGAAAGAGCTCTTCTCGTTGAGTCTTTTGCAGGGCACACAGACCTGGGTGGGCAAGGCAGCTGGGTCAGCATGCAGTAGAATGGAGGATGCTCCCTAAAGATCAGAGCAGCCTTGGCAAAGAAAACTGCACCTGCACTTGCCTGAGGGAGGAGCTGAACCTGTAGAGTCACACTCCTAGATGCCCTCTGCTTTAGGATGGGCTCTCCTTTCTGGGGCACACTGTATTCTTGCCAGTACGCCCTGCTTAGTTCTTGCCATGGGTGCTGACTGGTGCTGTGCTTAGTAGGACACCAGGTTCCGCTGTGTCTTCCACCCCAGATTCTGTCATGCCCCTGTCATTGGGTGGGCCTTGCTTTTCTCTGGAGTTCACTCCTGGGTGGTGTGTCCCCCTGGGTCTAGCAGGCAACCCCTGGCCTGCAGGGAGAGAAGCACGATGCTTCCTAACAGGGTTGCACTTAGTGCTGGATGTGCGGGATGTGGCAGGATGAGGCAGCCTGTTTGAAATGCTGTCGACTAAGAACCATCAAGATCCTGGCTTTGTGTTGATGGCAATGTGTCTTTTTTACTCGGGTTTGTGTTTGTTGTAGGCAATCCTAAACTTCCTTTTCAAATTCTCAGGTGGATTTTCGGGATGTCAATGCTAGGACCGTGGCAGAAAGGAAGCGAGAAGAGGAGAAGCAGAAGCACTTGGATAAAATCCACAAAGAAAGTGCTGAACGGGCCACGAGGGAGATGGAAGGTCAGTTCCTAGACCAAACCCTCGAAACTGCCGCCTGTGGCTTCTTGTGCTTGTTCCCTAATTGTTCTTCAGTCTAGCCCGAAGCCCACGCAGGCAGCTTTGCAAGACAGAGTGGTTCAGGGTAGGGTTGAGTCTTCCCAGGCTGCCTGTAGCTCATGTGTCTCCTAAAGCTGCTTGGCTTACGACTCTCTGAACAGAGAGGCTGACACAGGTTTGAATCCAGGAAGGAGTCTACACTTGGCCACTAGCCAGAGGCCTTCTTGCTCATTCTTCTCCTGTCCAACATCTGTTCTTGCTAGTTGCTTTCCCAGATCCTCATCCTTCCTGGGAGTCAGGTCTGGTGAGATGGGGCAGTGCTCTCTGCTCTCAGAAGCAGGTCTTAGGTTCTTCTTGTGTCCAGAACCTCCTGCACACACCTGTCCTGGGTGTGGGCTTGAAGGCCCAGGCCTTGGGGAAGGCTGCAGTCACACAGCTGTGCTGTGGGTGACTTAGAGGGCTCCAGGAGGGGGCACCCTGTCAAGTATGTAGCAGTGATGGCATGTCTTGACCCGGCAGGAAGTGTGCCCTCTCTGGGACCACCGTCCTGAGTGCAAGGTTGGCCTGGGGTTGTGGGTCACATTGGCTCCTGTGAGCTGCCACATAGTCGTGATCAGAGATGTACTCCAAAGACTGAGCTGTTGTGCTAGATAGTTTATTAAATAGTTGGAAGTGTTGCGATTTTTGTGCCAGGGCATTGGTTTCTCTTGGCGGCACCATGAACCTTCCCTTTGGTGCCGTGGGAAGTAGTCTTGGCTGTCTGTTGCTCTCTGGTTCAAGATGACACACTAATCAGCTGTTTCAATGTCTGCAGAAATGTCTGATGAAATCATATGCTGCCTGACAGAAGTGGAAAACTGCTTTAAGCTGCTGGTGCCCTTGGACTTGGGCCCATACCCAGAGGATAAATTCTTTGGTGAGGCATTTGGCATAACAGAGGGCCATGTTCCTTGCACCTTGAGCCCAGACCTAGCAACTTCTTGTGAGTCTGATCTCCCTGGATCCCAGAATGAAGAGCAGCCATGCTGTAGCAAGGACCTGGTTGCCTCTACATGCCATGTAGGATCTGTTGCTGGTCTGAAGGTACTAGCCCAAACAGCTATGCAAGACTGCTCCAGGGACGAGGATGAGCACAGCGACCCAGAGGAGTTCCTGAGGAGCCATGGGCTAGGATCCCACAAGTACACACTGGACGTGGAACTCCCCTCAGGTAACTGGCCGCCGGTGTTGTAGGGTGCCTCTGTGTGATGCTCTCACCTAGCCAGGTTTGTAGCTCCCTCCCTGGCACCAGGTTGTCCCATGGTAGAATTTAGAACTTGGGCTGGACTGTGAGGGGTAGAGGGACCTCCATGTGGTTAGTCTTTCCTGTGTAACTCTGCTCTAGGTTCCTGCCATCATGCCAGACCTCCATCACCATGAATCAGCTACATGGGATTCTCTGGTATTATAGTCCTATACTAATGAGATTATGAGCAGGGGTACACAGTCCCTGGCAGCTGTATGGGCATTACACCTGAAGGTCTACCAGAGGCACCTTCCTAGGAGAAAAATGGGATCAAAGCATGATTTCTTGCTGTGTTTACAGTGGCAAGGATGTGGCAGAGTAGTGCTTGACCCTGGCATGCAGGCCTTGTGGGGGCAGAGGTGCTCACTTGTCCATCTGTCTGTCTTTGTTGGACCAGGTGTTCTCACATGTGTCATGTGTTCACCATGTGGGGTGTTGTTGGGAAGGATTGGTGCAGGGTCCACAGCTTCAGGGCAATACCTTAATGTACTGCACCTTGCTCCGTAAGCATACAGGTCCTTTCCGGGGGCCCTGCCTAGCAGGTGTTTGAAGGAAATGAAGAGCCTGTCAAGAAAAGGCAGAATGGCAGGGGTCACTGAGACCCTGGAGCCAACAGGTGGAGACAGTCCTGAGAAGAGGCAAGAGAAGGTGGCCCTGAGAGGTCCAGCCCTCTGGATGAGAAGCCATGGCTGAAACAGTGGAGTTGTATGAGGGGCAGCCTCAATGCAGAGCCAGAATTGTTGGTGTCACCCCAGATATTTTCCTAGACAGTGTGCTTTTCTCTCAGGGTTGGCCAGCATCTGGGACCTGCTTGAAGTCACATTTTCAATGGACTTAAAGGCCTTTGCTACATGGCCAGCCTTAGCATCCTTCTGTGACTTCCTATGCCTTGTTTTAATGGCCTCGGCTACATGGCCAGCCTTAGCATCCTTCTGTGACTTACTATGCCTTGTTTTAGATGGTCTCAAGGTGCAAGAGAATGAAGACAACCTTGCTGTCCTCCATGCCGCTCGAGACTCGCTCAAACTCATCCGGATCAAGTTTCTGCCAGCCGTTTGCTCCTGGGTCCAGGTGAGGCTGAGTACCTGGCCTTCAGCAGTGAACTTGGGCTCAAAGACCTAGCAAAGCAAGGATGTGGAAGGCGAGAACACTGAGCTGGGTGGGGATGAGCGTTCCCCTCTCCCTAGAGCTTTGCCCCGTCCTGTAAGGAGGGCCTGGGCAGTGGGCTTCCAGGGCAGACCAGGCTCTCTGGGGACTCTCTGGGGCCTATGTGTGTCACCTTTGTTTTACAGCGGCTTGCCCGTGCAGGGGTCTACAGTGGACACTTAAAACAAGCCATAGACCTGAAAATGGAGTTGGAACTTGCTCTGAAGAAATGCGAGGAACTGAACATCAAGCCTGAGAGAGGACAGAGGAGCAGGGTGAGTTCTTGGAACTGAGGCTGAGAGGTCCCAGGAGTCTGCACTCAGCTGTTTCAGCAGGCAGGTGTCACCAGCTTCAGAAAAATCTGGGCTTTTCCTTACTAAGTTCTTGTGGGGGGTCCCAGATCAGTCTCTCCTGAGAGAGGACCCACCTGCTCCTCTTAGCTTGGGGTCCTGGCCTGTCCCTCAGCAGGTCTTCTGTGAAGTCACTTCATGGTAGCTACATTACTGCTGTTGGGGTCTATTCGTCCTATGTTATAGCCAAGGATACTTACGAAGTACTGAAAACCCATGTGTCAAGGGTACCTCCTGAGAGTCCAAAGAACCAGGCTGTGCCCAACTTAGTGTTAAGTAGGGGATACTTCTGTGGGGTTGCTAGCACATCAGTCAGACAGAATGAAGCCAACAGAATGTTCTGGTGCAGTCAGGTGGCCATGGGTACTGTGTCCTTTGGGGTGGAGATCTGAAGACCACCTGTCTGCTGGACTGTTTGTGGCCTCAAACTTGGATAGGCCAGGTTGTTTGTGATTAAAAGCAGGATACTTGTGATAGTTGGGGGCCTGACAAGGTGCTGTATCTTTAGTGAGGATCTGGTGTTGAGATAGAGCCAGGGTACATGAGTCCCCTAGAGGGGGCTGGAGAGATGGGAGTCCCAGACAGGGCCAGAGAGAGGTATGGGCCATGTGTTCTGGGTGCCTGGTAGTGGGCAAGGATTCAGTCCTGTAGTGACCTAGGAGCCACAGAGGCTGTCCATGTCAGGAACACTGGGACTGGCTGGAAGGCAGAGTACATTGCTATGCCTGGAGGAGGTGATGCCCTTGGAGTGGGAATGGACATGCTGTGTCTGAGGGCTGCATGGACAAATGTCCACAGAGCTGGGGAATATGGCTGCACTTGGGGTAGATGGGTCTTGAGATTTTGGTTGCAAGACACAAAACTCACAGTCCAGACTCTCTTTGTCGCCTGCTTCTCACAGCTTCCAGCTGTCAGTCATCATCCCATGATTCTCTCAGGTGGTTTTAATTAAAACTTTACATTTATTTGTGGGAGTCAGTTATCTCCTTGTACCGTGTAGGTTCAGAGACAAGACTCAGGTCCTAGGCAAGTGCCTTTTCTAGTTGAGACATCTTACTAGTTCCTCTCAGCTGACTTCCAAACAGAGAAAACAGACATCAGAGCTGCCACCTCCCCATGGAATCATGTCCTAAACCTGGACCCTGAGCCTAGCCCCTGAACATAGCCTTAGAGCAATGGTTCTCAACCTGTGGGTCATGACCTTTTCATCGGGGTCGCCTATCAGCTATCCTACATATCAGTTATTTAAATTACAATTCATAATAGCTAAATTACAGTTTTGAAGTAGTAATGAAATGATTTTATAGTTGGGGGTCACCACAACATGAGGAACTGTATTAAAGGGTCACAGCATTAGGAAGGTTGAGAACCCTTGCCTTAGAGGTTAGTGGACCGGCTGACCTGGGCAGTCTGATTTGTGAATTCTGTTTTGGAAATTAGCATTGAGGTGGAAACAACATTATCTTTTGCTGAGGAAGAGGTCAACTTTGAAGCCATCCACAGCTCCAGTCTGAAACCAAGGGCACCCCATATCTAGCACTTAGAGACCCTGATGCGTACCCTGTGGTAGCTAGTAGGCACATTGAAATGCAGTACAGGAAGTGCTAGAGCCAGATGCCTTAGGAGGGAGCTCCTAACTCACAGTTCTGCAGCTGCCTGCTGGTCCCAGCTTTGCAGAGGGTATGTGTGATGTGGGCCAGCAGAGGGCGACCTTGCTTCTCCTTCAGTCGGCCAACGGTTGAGTTTCTCGAAACGATGGAAATACAATGCTGCAATTGAGTCTGTTTGGCAGTGTTTGGTGTGTGCCATTAATGTCTTATGAGAGTTGCATTTTGTTGTGTCACTTAACTATAAGTCATATTTATGAATTTTGAGCACTACCTGTCTACAGTGGAGAACATTTCTCCAACCCTCGTTGTAGCAGTCAGAGTTTGTTGTATCTCTGCACTCAGTGTCCCAAGTCATCAGTGCCTGAGGCTTGGCAAGACTGTGCCTGTGAAGTGGAAGGCTACCTCACTATTCTGCTGAAAATCTCAGCCACCTTGCTGATGGCCTTTGGCAGTGCAGGGACATCCTTGGGTAGCCAGTGTTCCAGGGAGTAGCCACAGAGTTTTGAATGTTCTTGGGTAGCACAGGTTTTGCAAGGCCTACATATACCAGCTGGCACTACCTTACTGGGACCACCAGCAGTGCAGAGGTCTTAGCAACCTGGCTATTCTTCCTGGCCTAAAGCTTTGTCAGACAGGTAAAGCTGAGTGTGTTGTTGGGCGCTATTGCCTTAGCCGTGTGTCTTAGCTCTCTGTTTCCTGACTACCGAGTGCCTGACTGCTGGAGGGAATCTGAACAGTCTTCTCCTGCCCTACAGGCCTTTGTGGGTAGTGAGGACATGCAACTTCTGGGTCAGGGTTCTGCATTTAGTTCAGTCAGCTCTGGGTACTACAACTTCCGCCCCCAGATCCCAGGTAAGAAAGCTCCATTTTCCCTGTGTGGCTTGTGCCCGTGGCTCGGTTACCTGCATGGTAATGGCCATGCACACAAGGCAGCTGAATGGAAGCTGGGCCTGGTGGTGAAAGCCTGGGATCCCAATACATGAAGGGTGAGTCAGGAAGACCATCTCTTAACCCAGCCTGGGCTGCAGACTGGTTTCTAGGGCTGCCTGGGCAACTTAGTGAGCCCTTGTTTCAAAACAGAAAAAGGCCTGGGGATTTAACTCAGTGGTAGAGTGCTGCCTAGCATGTTTGAGGTACTAGGTTCAATCCCCAGTACTACACCAAAGAAGACGGAAAGGCTTGCCTGGCTCCTGCTAGCTGTCCTAAGCCAGCTGCAGTCCTAGCTCTCTGTTGTGGCTCTGCCTTCAGTGGAAGCAGGTATTGGGGCCATAGTAGATGGTCAGGACATGGCTATGTTAGTGCTTTGGCTCCTAGGACTGGAGGCAGTTTCACCAGCCATTTCCTAACTCCCATGGGCACAGACATAGGTGTTTGAGACGCAGCACTTTAACACGGCAAACACAGTTTTCCTGTGGCACATGGTGGGCAGTCTTGGGTTGATGTGATGCCCAGGTCCTGCACTGTTTCCACTAGCCCTTGTTGCACCCAGTGGCTACTCGCCTGGTCTTACCCAGATTAGTACATATATCTCTGTGTATCAGTAGGTAGATGGTAACCCTCGCAGCTGAAGCCTGGCTACCTCCACTTGTGCCCGTAGGATCCGCTGTGAAGACAGGCCCTTCAGGGTGTAATAGGGGTGGGTCCTCTGGCTCACAGGCCATCCTGTGGGTGTGTAGGGCTGCCTGGGCTCAGGGAGGTGGTAGCCCTTGGACTAATGATGTCCTGCCTTCAGTGGGAAGATAGATACTGCTTTGCTCTGCTGTCAGTTGAACGGACACTTCCTAGACCTGTCTCTGCAAACTGATTTTAACAAAAGGCACTGCTCTGAAGTCCTTGGAGATTTTGCTTGCCGCAGCTGGAGAGCGAGTGAGGCGCTGCTTGTAGATGAAGTGATTGGCGGCTCCTGGACTGTGAGTGGCAGCGCCCAGGCTCAGGTGAGCACTGCTTCCCAGAATAGATTCAGCAACTGCCTATCTGCACATCGCCCGCCCTTCCTGCGGCTGGTGGGCAGCTCCTTGCAAGGCTGCTGCACCACAGTGTCTTGTGGGGGAGGGGTGGGGAGAGAGCTAATGAATGTCTATGTTAATTAGAGCTGTTTTAATTAGAAATCATGATGAGGTGTTCACTAATTTCCAAATAAAATTTACGGAGGGTTTAAATCATTTCCTAGTGTTTCCCCATTTAGCACGGGATTGGCATCGTTAACTCCTCATGTAGAACAGGCTGAGCTGGGAACACTAATTCAATAATGCATGATTTAAACATTTAAGAACTTCTAACAAATGTGTGAGATTGAAACAAATACAATGCTACCAGTCATAAACAGCAGCCCGGACCTTGGACAGATCCAGGCTGTCTTGGAAGGTTGTGTTAATGCAGGCTGTGCTGGCTCCCGCTCCCCCCAGGCATCTGTGGTCTCCAGCCCTAGTTCCTATTTGAATGTTGCCATTGGTCTCTGCACAGTATTGCTTTCCCTTTGACATAGATGGTCTGTCTTCAAAAATACTTAAACCAGTTTAAACACGTCTAAGCATTTGCTTTACAGAGTGTGTACACTTCAGCTCAGTTTGGAGGCAGGCTGGGGATAAATCTTGACCCGATCAATGTGAGGGCCATTTGGTAGAGTTAGTTTCCACCTGCTGTGTTACAGAAGAGCTGTAATAATCCATGGCGGCCTCATTATTTAAACTGATAAAAATCCTTTGAAAACTTTTAAATTGCCTGCCTTTTCATTATGTAGCTCTGATCATGGTTAGTTTGTATTATGTAATTAACAAAATACAAATCCCCACCAGCTGGTGGTCAGAGCGGTGATTGCAGACATCAGTACGTCTGACTTGTCAGCAGCTGTTCTTTCCTTCCTGGACTGTTGGTCTACCTGTTCATGTGCTTATAAATGTGTCTTTGTGCACACCAGTCTATAGGCCGTGCGGCACCACCCTGATGGAGCCGTGGTCTCATCTTTCCCTCTCACAGCAATAGAAATCAATCTGTTTGGTTCACGCTGTGCAGCTTTGCTTGCTTTCTGTGTTGGGTGCTGGCCAGTCTGCCTTTCAGAGCAGCCTCGTTACCAGGCCCATGGGTGCTGTACTGGGCACTCGCTCACCCAGGCCCACCTCTTCTCCTGCAGAGTGTTAAGAAAGCTCCGTGGGCTGTGCAGGATTTGCTTCTTGTAGGTGAAAAGGACAGAGGCAGAAAACCCAGGGAATGAAATGTTGAGGCGTCAGGCACACCCGGGGAGAGCAGGGGAACTAAATCAGCCTTGCGGGACCTTGTGCAGCAGCAGGGCCCGTAAACAGCCGTGCTCCCTCCATCACACCGAAGGCCAACCCCACCCAACAGCAGAGAGTGGGAGGGCTCTGAGCGTAAGTTCTTGGGAGGTCAGCTCTCATGGGTAGGGGAAACAGCTCTGCAGCCGCTCCACCAGCCTATACCCTCCCACACCCCGCTGCATGGATCTGATCTTGGTTCTCCCTGGCTCTAGTGTCCAGCCCAATTATTTGTCTTTCCAGAACACCTTTTCATATGTCATCTCTTTAGCTCCAGGAGTACCCCATCAGATTCTTTCCTCCATTTTACAGATAAGAAAGCAATCCGGAGAAACTTGTGTGAGTCATGGCCCCTTCTAAAGTCTCAGATGCCCAGTGGCAAGGTTCTCGCTGGGACAGGCCACACAGCATAGCATGGCCTCATGTTGTCAGAGGCCGGCCACCTGCTCTCACCTGAGATGGCAACCAAGGCACAGGGAGGGCCCTGTTCCAGTCCTGGCAAGTGTTAGTTCTCCCCTGCGGGGTCGGTTTCTCTGCACACTTCTCCCCTGCAGGGTTGGCTTTCTCTGCACACTCCTGGGAAGAATGATTAGTGATCTCACACTTCGTTGGATGTTAATGTGTGGAGTTCACATAACCTCATTCATGGTAACTCTCCCTGTCTCTGCACCACTCACACAACCTTGTCATTGGGAGCATGTATATACGGGCTCCCAGAGCAGGCTGGTTTGAGTATACCCATTAGGAACACTGAATCCAGAACACCTGGCCTGTGTCCACCTAGGCTACCAGGCCTCAGTTTGGTTGACAGCATGTGACTCCCTTACCCATCTAGCTAGCTGCTTGTTTGGATCCAGTAGAGATTTCGAGTCTTAGCCTTACTGTGGAAATGGACTCCTACGCACATGTGACCAAGGTTCTTGCCTGATACTTTGTAGCAGGCTACATACACTCCGCTCTTAAGCCCCAGTTCCAGGAAACTCCCTGGCACCAGGGCTGTTTGCTGATACTGGATTCTCAAGGGCAGGTTTTTGTGGACTGTTGCCCACTGATCCACATCAGGGGAGAAAAGAGGAGGAGAAATGACCATCCCTGTGTGTCCTGCAATTCTATTATTGTGAGACTCTTTCATGAACATGGCCTTTATAGAAAGTAATTCCAGAATACAAAGTTTTGCTCCAGTGTACTATTTGGACTTGAATGTATGTTTGGGTTCCCTGCATGTGGGCAGGTTTGACTCAGTGACCACCAGGTACCTGGTCTGTGTTGTCACGTGGTCAGCACCACTACGCCCTCTGTCCTCTGAAGGTGCATCCCTGGCAGCCGAGATGCACATGAGATATTGGCCTGGCCGGGCAATTTGCACGGCCTTCCAGGGAGGGCATTAGCATATAAATAGCAGATGCAATGACGGCCATCACAGCTGAGCACGTTTAATTTTTAGTTTATAAGATAGAATGGGTTTTTAAATGCATAGCCATCAAGCCGCTGAAAGACAAATGCAGTTTGGAACTCACTTGTCTGACGAGGCCTTACATCATTTTTTTTTAAAAGGGAAATAGACACACATAAAACTGAACAAAAGTGATTTCTTGGGTGAAAAGTAATTGAGATTGCGCACCAAGTTAATTAGATCGTACAAAATTTATTTAATGGTCCCAGCTGTATCTCTAGGCTGTGGGCTTGGCGGCCATGGCTTTCCTCGTGTTGAGATGCTCTTCCCATTCCTTCGCAAATAATTAGCACTCACCACCCCACTTCTGTAAACTGATTGCGTTGTATATTTTAGCCGTTTTATTGCTTGTTTAATTATGATCATGACGACTCATTTTTCTAAATCCTTTTAACTGTGGGTGAGAATCAATTTGTATAAAACCAGCAGTACCCCTACCATGGCAACAGCAGTGGGTAAAAGCTTGTGTCTGTCCTGTGGGGTGAATGAGCTGGCCCTCTCAAGGGGTCTGTAGTTCCCACCAGGGGGCCAACTTGGGAGAAGTCATCTGACTGGCTGGAAGGGTTTTGAGTACCCATCCTGTCCCTCAAAGGCACCCAAGGATTTTACCTGTCAGAAAAGGTATGAGTGAGATGTCTAGCCTGTGCTGATGTGTGGCTCCCATGTGCAGATCTCATTAAAGGCTGGCCCTCCCTACTGGTTTCACACAGTTTTGCATTGTTTCATGACAGTAGAAAACTTGGCCCTCATGGGATAAAAGTGAATTGTTATTGAGAACATTCAAAAGTCTGGCCCCCTTTTGAAGTTATTACTAGTCCCTCTATTACCAGGTATGAGCTCTTTCCCAGGACCCTTGGCATCCAGCTACTTTTTGTGGACCTCTCAGGATGCCGGCTTCTGTCTGACCTCCCCTGTGACCTTAAAGGCTGGTTACCACCATAGTGGTCATGACCTCTTGATTATTTAGATTCTGAAACATTAAGTGGAGGGTGGTCAACTGAGGTCCAAGACCATCCCATGAAGGCCTTTTCCCCTCTGGGCTGTGATACCTTTCCAGGGGACTGCCCCTTGACCATAATGTTCCTGGTTAGATTCCTGAGCAGGTCACAGGAGTGTCCCAACAGCTAGGGCTCAGAGCTTTTCCACATCAGAGTAACGTCCCGTCCCTCAGGTATGGCTCATCTGTCAGCTATCCTTGGTAACTTTGGCACCAAGGATTTGCAGTATCAATATTTACCAAGTGTGAATTAACAGTGGCATCTCGCAATTCTGGTTGCAGTTTGAGGACTCCATCTCAGAATAGTTGCAGAGTATAGAAATGACGTGCAGGTCTCTGTGGACCCAAAGAAAGCCTGGGTCTTTTTCAAGGCAAGCACATGGCGGTGGAAGAGCAGACAGCCAGAGGCCTTATCAGTGCTAATTTAAGAACAAGAAAGAATCCAGTGCTTCAAATTTAATCTCAAAAATAAACGATTTTAGTTGAGGAGGAAGAAGATAAAATTCTAATAGTTACCTAAACAGTTGAATATTTTTAGGGAATGAAATTTTGATAAAAAGTCCCCAGCAAAATTCAAGGGTGTGAGCAATAAGCATAATATTTTATGAAAATGACCCCCATATTTAAAACCTGGCACTATATGTTATGCATTGTAGCACCCAGCCCACATCTACCTTTTAGAAAATTAAAACACATAAATTCTGTTTAGTGTTTGATACGCACTGCACTAGCTGAGCCCGTAATGCCCTAAAACCTTGGGCTGCTTTCCACCTTTCATAAATTCCTGGGTAGATTCTATACAAAAATAATTTTCAGGTCCGTGGCTCATTGTTATTCAAACGTGATTGATCGTCGTCATTTGCTCAGCTCGGGAGTTAAGTGCCCCTGTCATTTCCAAAGAGTATAATTGGGACGTTTCACAGGTCAGCGGTGGAGACAGGCTTCCCTTTTGATCAGTGTTAGACTGATAACAAAAATTACAGTTTCCGATGATTAATGTCTCCTGTGCTTCCCAGATGCACAACTGTGGCTGCACCAAAACAAAGTGCATTTGCATCTGATTATGCTCTCTCGGGCAGCAGTCTCCCAGGCTGGGGCATGGGGCCAGCAGGCACGGCCAGATGTGGCTGCTGATGGCTCCAGCAGCCCCACGATGGAGCCTGGCTCTACCTGGGCGGGCAGAGTGCTGAGCCAGGGCATAAGTAGGTGATGCATTGTAGATCTCACATCCATGGTGGCTATCATTTGCTTGGCTTGGCTTCCGATGCACAGCGGCTCTGACCTGAGACTAGAAACTACTCCTTAGACGTTCTTTCTCCCTCCAGGAAATAGGTAGGACCATGAGGAACATCTGTGAATTCAAAGTGTGACTGTTGGAAGTAGTTTTTAAATTAGTGTTTAAGTTTTTCAGAGTTTTTCTTATAACCCTATAAGGGTCCACTAGTTGGCATTCATTTGACAGGGCCTTCCTTGATTCATCTTTGCCTTGGAGCTTTTGTTTGTTTGGTTGTTTGGTTGGTTGGTTGGTTTTTTGTTTTGTTTGAAACAGGGTCTCTCTATTATCTCTATTATGAAGCAGTCCAGGAACTTACTACATAGGTCTGGTTGACTCCTCTAACTCACAGAGATCCACCTGCCTCTGCCTCCTGATACAGCCTGGTCCACTCTCAGACACTGATTGATACCCAGTGCAGAGCTCCTGCTGGTCAGCTAGAGCTCTACATATTGTTACTGTAATTGAATCTTCTCTTCATCTCAGCTTTTATTCATTCCCCTTTGAAATTAAAGGTGTGCACCATCATTCCCAGTCAGTTGCCCTGGAGTTTTGGAAGCTGCAAGGGCATTGAAACTTGGGGAGCACCCAAATTCCAGGGGCATCACAGCTCTAGGAGCCACCACAGTCTGAGGAGTGTCACATCTCTAGGGGCATGGGCCTCCCTGCCCTGGTGAGCTGAGCAGGCCCTCTAGTGTGACAGGTGGGCAATGGAAGAAGGTTGAGTTTCTGGCATCCTGTCCTGGATGTGGAAGACTCTGGAAGAATATGAGGTCAGTGGGAGGTAGGGTGAAGAACCTTATCAGAGATGTTTCTGCTTTGAGGTTGGAGGAGCAGTGGGTCTGAGGCATAGCGGATTCTGTGACCTGTAACCCTGGTGGCTTACTTGGGCATGGCAGAGCTGTAGGTGGGATGGCAGCAGCATTAATTTAGGCTCTGCTGCCTGTTTAGGGGGGATGACCAGCTGTGTGAGTACCTGGTGATGCACACTGCATCAGGCACAAGAGAGTTGGTGGCTAAGGAATGGCTCCAGGTGGGAGCTGAGCAAAGGCACTGTGATTTAAGAATAACAGCAGCCTTAGAGACATTATAATTAAAGACCATCCACATCTGATACTCAAGTCCTAAACTGACCCTATGGGAAGCAGCACCTGTACATAGTCCATGGACAGCTGTTGTTGCATAGAGCTGATGACCTCATTTGTACTTGGGGATGTTTTCACAGACAGAAGCCCTGGAGGACAGCGAGGATGAGGATCAGGACTTTGTGGAGGTCCCAGAGAAAGAAGGTTATGAGCCCCGAATCCCTGACCACCTCCGGGCTGAATATGGTGAGCTGTGGGCCCACAAGGGTACTGGGAAGACAGGTCCCGAGTCTGGACAATGCCTCTAGGTTGTGACATCAACACAGGGAGCTTAGCCTTCAGCTTCCCTTGTACAGCTGTGGTGTCAGTGACTGTTGCTTGTATTTAAATTTTGGAGTTTTCCTTTTGGCCCTGAGTCCCCTGGGGACCAGTACATGGCAGGTTTCCATCATACAATCTTCTGGGCTGTTTGATGCTCTGGGCGGGACAGGGGTGCGGTCTGATGGAAGTGCCTTTGCCCAGGGTGGAGAGGACGCAGATACCATGATACCATGATAAAAACATCCCTACTTTGTGTCTGTGAGGTCACAGATGTGGCCTCCGACTCAGCAATGTCTGAACACCTTAGCGAGAATCAGCTTGTCATACACATTACCACTGTGACAGACAAGAATGTCCCATCTAGGATTTTCCTCTTTTCCAAGAACTCTAAAAGCCACACTCTGTGCCCTAGGCTTGTGCCCTCCAGAGAGAGAGTGTAGCCTTAAAGGGGACCCAGGACGCAGGTGACAGCCTTGGGTTATGGCACGCTTATGTCAAGAGGAAGCAAACACAAGCAAGTGCCCTGGTTCCTCTGAGGAGGTCACAAGTAGATTTGAACCGGCATCTGTGGGGTGGAGTCTGAATTTGTTAAGAGACTTAGATGATTACATGACTTGTGTGTGAAGGAAGACATGACCCATTAGGGGTGTCATGTCAAATTAGCCTAGGCAGTCTCAACCCTCTCCACTCCCTCAGTCCTCTGCCCAGTGCCATCTGCTGGACAGGCTGGGTGCTGGGGGGGTGGTCAGTGAGTGTGTGACTGTCAAGAGGAACCTCCCCCACTAAAGGGTACCGGTGACCCCTTGGCTGAGCATAGTAGCCTGGTCTGGCCCACTCTGCAGGAGTTCCAATGTTGTAATGCCCCATGAAGAGCTCCCTGCCTAGTAGAGATGCCCTCTTACACCTGCTTGCCTCACCTGCTGGTTGTGGGCTCCCTGCCTTGCTGAGTCTTGCGTATCCCTTCTGCAGGCCTCAGCCTTGCAATGCTCTCGTGGGCTTCTTCAGTCTGCAAGTCCATGGCTCTTAAGCCTCCTCCACCCACCCACTTCTCCAAGCACCAATCTCTATCTAAAATGGAGTTTGCCATTTTATCTTTTCACCTAGTGGGAGATACCTCATGGCCAAATCCTCACCCAAAGTGCCACACCTAACATCTGGGGTACCCAAAAATGCTTCAGGTATACCATGGGATGACTTGGCCATCCTCCTGTGCCCAGTGTGGTCTGTGCCTGTTTCTTTTACCCTTGGCTGGATGAGGCCCATATCTAGCAAGGTGCTGATATGGCTGTGGCTTTATCTGAGGCCACCAGTGGGCCGTGAGGTCAGGTAAGCCAGGGACACTTCTCATGGTCCAGACAGTGTAGGTAGCACCTACTTGTGTGCAGGGTCTCATCTGCCCAGATGTTCTTCTGCCTTCCTTGGAAGCCACATTTTCCTTCTGAAGCTGGGGACTAACTGGCTCTTCAGAGGAGCTGGTGGGTCTTCCCTGGAGCCTGGGAGCCAGCACTGATTCAGGGCTCATAGTTGCACCACAGTTTTTTAACTTGGACCTCTGCATCCTATTCTGATGTTCCATGTCCTTCCAGCAGGTATGGTAAGTGTGACTTTACACGGGCTTAGAGGAGCTCCAGGTCACATGTAGTAGGGCCAGCAGTGACAAACCGACACTGAGGATTGTCCTCAAACAACAGAACAGCTTCTTTCCATCATAGGGAAAGATGCCTTTGGCCTGTGGCTTGGGAATGGCCAGTGATGGTGCCAATGAGGACAGCACCCTCCATTCACAGTGTCACCTCTGGGAGATAGACACAGTGAAGCCCTTTTCAGCCACCAGTAGAAACTGACAGGGCTAGAGCAAATCCTATAGTCCTCCTGACTGGGCATGGTCCTGTGTCTGCCTATACCCGGATGGCTTGTGACTTGTTGGCCATTTGAGTCCAACAAAAGAGGCTGAGCTGTAAAAATGCTTTGAAGCATCTCCCAACATTACTTGCAGGGGCACAGCAATGGCAACCTGCACCTAGGCTGCATGGGTACTGGCTGCACAGGGAATCACAAGTGGCTATGGTTTGGCAGTCACAACCGGCATCCCTCATGGTCATCCAGCCCGACTCAGGCCCCACAGCAGAGTGTGTTCCTAATGGAGAATAGTCCATGATTTCCAATAGAATATTTCTGGTTCTACTACTGTGTGTTCAGTTATTTGTTAGATAGCCCATAGCTCCTGCGCCCATGCGCATCAGCCCATGTGTCTTTTCTTCAGAGCCTTCCATGTAGACCTGCCATGGAAGGGCCTCCAGAACTGGTGAGGGGCTTCATCTTAGCCTAACAGAAAGGCAGAGGCCCTGGTGTCTGCTTCACTGTCTATAATTCATCCCTTTCTTGGAGAGACTCTAGGCATCTGCTTTAAACCTGGAAGGCAGTAGAGACTGATGTGGTCTGAGCCAGGAGTTGTTGTTTTGCATTTTCAAAATGACTCCAAGTGGAAACCATGGCAGAGGCTGGGTGGGCTGGCCGGATGTACAGGTAGACAGACCTACAGCAGCCACACTCAATATGTATAATCTGGCCGTCAGTGCCACCACTGGGCTGAGGGTCACAGGTGGGCTCTTGAGGCCAGGATACATGACACACCTAGAGTGTGTGATGATTCCTGGAACATCCACAGGAGGGCTTGGGGTAAGAAGGACACTAGCCCCATGGGCGGGACTTGTGGCAGGGATGGTAAGTGGGAAGTCTCTGTCATGGCACCAAATGGAGACTCCCTGGGGAGTCCTGGGAACTAAGTCAGCAGCCTAGGCCGGAGTATCCAGACAGACAGACAGTGTTCAGGGAGCTCAGTTCATAATACTAATTTATAGTCCATCACTGTTTTTCCAATTAAACACAGGCGAATCTGAAGTGTTAGATTCAGTCTAAATCCACACAGCTGAGGAAATCAGGGTCTTTTTTCTTTCTCATTTCTTTCTCTGAATTTTCACTGAGGGGCTTTTATCTTCCCCTTAATCCTACCATTTCTGTCAGGACATAATCTCTTTCTCAAATTTACATTTTAATTACAAGGCCAGCTGAACTAGGTAAAATCAATAATGTCAGCGCGGCAGCCTAACTTTGTGCGGAGCCCCAGCCTCTCCATTTCCTCCTATCGATCCATCTCTCCCGCACTGTCTGCTTTAGTGCTTCAGGCAAATAGGTGCCACTTGGCCAATTTAAACAAAAAAAGGAGCTTTGGACATTTTTATGATTCTTTCTAAAAGCAACTATGGGAGTAAATTTTGGCCAAAGGACTACTGGAGTCAGGCCCTGCAAGGCAGCAGGGCCATGGTGGTCAGCAGAATGATGTCTGACTCTTTAGGGTCGCACAGAGCCTGAGGAGCGTGCTCTGCTTTTTGGGTTTGAACTTTGAAAATATGTCAGTGAGATTGATTTTCTACGATAGTGTGAAAACAGTGGTGTGTTCGGTACCCTGAGTGTTTACCCTGCTCTAACACGCTTACCCATCTTCTTAATGGGTTAAAACAACAAATCAATGAAAAATATATTTCATTCTTGTAACTCTTAGGAATTCTCATATTGATCTTTTGGCTGCGATTGTATCTATCTAAATGTCACATTGCCCACTTACCAGCCCTGCCTCCCTGCTGTGAATGTGTGTATGCAGGGCTGGGCTAACTGCTGGCTTCCACATTGCTGGTAACATTGTGATGGAAAACACCAAGGGTCTCCTGGAAGTGTTTGCCACCAAACCTTGGACACTGTTTTTAAGGACAGAGCACAGAAGGAACTGCCTCTTATCTTCTGACTCACAGTGTGCCTAAGCCTTAGGAAGTAGAGCTCCAGAGCCTGGAGGTGGCAGACTGTGACTCCACCACCCTCTCAGAGAGGCCCTGTGCAAGTCTGCTGCACCCCACCCATGAATCTCCAAGAAACAGGAGCCCTTACCTGTACATAGTGTGTACCAGAGCAGAGATAACAGATGTTTCTATAAAGGGCCACCGAGTAAATATTTGGACTTTCTGGGCTGCGTCAGGTCGTTGTCATGCTTCCACTGCAAAAGCAGGAGAGACAAATGGCCATAGCTAGGGCCAGTAAAACTTTATCATAGAAATGGGTAGTGAAACAGATTTGGCCTGTTGCCTCCAGGACCCCAGGATCCCTGAGGAGCATCCGGTTGTTTCTGTGCCGTGTCAGGCTGACCTTTTCTACAGCAACGCATGATGAGTCAAAACTCTGGTGACTTAAGTGCTGTGACCCCTCAGAGCTGTACGCTTTGCCTTCCCGAGAGCCTCAAGTGCAATGCGTTGGTCTGCCTTGGTGGATGTCTCTTTGTGTGCATAGACTTTGTTTTATTTGGTTTTGGAAACAGCGTCCTGCATTGAATTCAAGCTGCTTTCAACTTGAAATCCTTTTACCCAGGCCTTCTGAGTACTGCAGTCACATACCTATATCACATGCCTAAAACACTCATTGACCTTGAGTCTAGAAATTAATACATGGACTTAGCATTTTTAAATGAATTTTTTTCTTGATTTAGGCTTTTACTGTGTAACCCAGACTGGCCTTGGCCTTGAGATTCTCCTACCTGGGCACCCTAAGTTCTGGATGACAGGTGATGTCCAGTTATACTTTGACACTTCATCATACCTTCATGTATTTTTTCTTTTATGCTAGTTTTTAAAACGTCAAATCTACTTTCCTGGTATTAACCCATTTTCTCAGCTGTCCTTTGATTGTTTATTAACTTTTTTCTTTTTTTTTTTTAGATTTATTTATTTATTTATGACATATACAGTGTTCTGCCTACATGCCAGAAGAGGGCACCAGATTGAATTGTAGATGGTTGTGAGCCACCATGCCACCATGTGGTTGCTGGGAATTGAACTCAGGACCTCTGGAAGAGCAAGTCAGTGCTCTTAACCTCTGAGCCATCTCTCCAGCCCTAACTCTCAGTAGCTATTTATTGGCTGAGCATATTTGACTTGCCCAGTCAAATACCAATTTATTTATTAGTCTATGTGACAGGTGGTCCTCAGTGTATTCAAAACTGGGCACCATACTTTTTCTGGCTTTGCAGCTGCTGTTACTATTTGGCTTTATCCTTCGGCTTAAAAATATATCTTTGGCCAGATGGTGGTGGCATATACCTTTAATCCCAGCACTCAGGAGGCAGAGACAAGAGGATCTCTGTGAATTCAAGGCCAGCCTGGTCTACAGATCGAGTTCTAGGACAGTCTCCAAATCTACACAGAAAAACCCTGTCTCAAAAAAAGTATGTTTGTACCCTTCTGACAGCTGTCTCTAATTTTATGACTTGCCTAGTTTTATCATTCATTGCTTCATTTTGTGGTTCTGGGGCAGAACCCAGGGCCCTAGGCTTGCACACATGTTAAGCATGCTTTTCTACCCAGCCCTCAGCCCCCTCACTCACTATTTTTTTATGGTTTCTATGCTGTCCTCTGCATAAGACAGGTGATCAAAGCCCTTCTTATTCACCTCCATGGCATTGGGCCACCCTGGTATCCATTGAGTTAGTGTCCTGGTAGATATCAAGTCATGTACTCATTGTTACCATGTCCTGCACTTGTGATTTAGATTTTTTTCTCATGGGTCACTTATGCTAAGGGTGTTCTTAAAGAATCTGTAAGTGGCGGTCCTAGTAAGGCTTGGGTCGTGGGCTTGACAGCTCAGCAGGGTACCCAGCTGTAAGCCTGGCTCTTCCTCCTGCACACTTCCTGTTGTCTGCTGTGGTGCTGAGGATGGGACCCAGAGCTTCACACATGCTAGGTTCTTGCTCTGCCACAACACTATACCCCCAGCCCTTCCTTGTACCCTTCAAGATGGCGTTTCAAGGCCTTTAGCTTGCTGCTATGGCTGAAAGTGCTGTTCCCAATGGGGTTTCCAGCTCACCTTTTTCTTTGTTATCACTAATGTTCTCTAGCTTCCTCTTCCAGCCATAGTTGCCCCTTTGCCTCCTCTGGTAGCAAGTCCCTTAATTTCAGGAAAACTGGCCCATTTCTTCAGCTATTCCCTCCACTCCAGTTGTATTTTATTTCCTCTGGAACTCCAGAGACAAGGACACCAGTGCCTGTATATCTGCCCTTCACAGTGCCGAGCTGTGCAAGTTTGCTCCTGCGCACTACCATTGCCCTCTGCATTTCAGGCAGATAGCATAGCAAGTCATTATTCTTCTGCCTGTGTCCTGCGCCTCACCCTTTTTTAATTTTTATTTTATGTGCATAGGTGTCTTGCCAGCTCGTATGTCTGTGCACCATGTGTGTGCCTAGCACCTGAGAAGGCCATAAGAAGGTGTCAGGGCCTCTGGACTGGAGGCAGGCAGGTGCAAGGTAGCTGAGGTGCTGGGAATTGAACCTGCATCCTCTGGAAGAACAGCAGACGCTCTTAGCACTAAGCCATTTCTCCAGCCCCTTGCTTCTCATCTTTGATAGGAGATGTCTTCAACACCTTCTTTTCTGACTGCCAGAATGGTGCTCTGCTGTCTGCAGTCCTCCCCAGCTTGTCTTCCTTCTTGCCCTACGTCAGCTGTAGAATTTGCCTAGTCTAAGGAATGGTCCTCTGTCTTTGGCGGCAGGGCACTCAGAAGTCTGAGCTGCTCTGTCAGTGCAGGTCTCCCTGGTAGCGGGGCTCCTGCAGTGAATGTGAGACGTGGGGTAACAAGTGGGCAGAGCCTCTGGAGCCCCAGTTCAGACTCTGCTCTGGGCCAGCAAGGGTCAGAGTTGGCCGTACATGCAACCTCCTCAGAGTATCCTGTACAAATGCTGTTGTCAAGTGTCAACATCATAACTCCTCTAGCCGGCAGCAGGGTGGCATACTGTAGTCAGGAACTTGCCATCTGCCCCACAGCCACAGAAAATGTACTGCAGTCACAGAACCCAGGCCTAACTGTAGCTACCCCTGTGGCTTTTGGAGTTTAGGGCAGAAGTTGGGAACAACCTTGGGTGCTTCTTCTGAGGACAGTACAGGGGAGAAAAGGTACCATTAAGTCTCAGCTTGAATCATGTGTCACCCTCATTCACATACAAAGGCTGATTTTCTCTGTTCCTTGCTCAGTGAAGGGAGGGAGGCCTGCTGTCGGGGGGAAGGGAACGATTTATTCACACTATGGGTAGCCTCTTTTTAGCATGGCAGGTTTTGTATATAGAAGTCTGACTTATTTAAGGTTTCTATTGCTGCAATGAAATACCATGACCAAAAAGCAAGTTGGGGAGCAGGGAGGGGCATGGTTTATGTGGCTTATATTTCCACATTGCTGCTCATCACTGAAGGAAGTCAGGACAGGAACTCAAGCAAGGCAGGGTCCTGGAGGAGGAACTGATGCAGAGGCCGTGGAGGCGTCCTGCGTACTGACTTGTTCCTCATAGCTTGCTCACCTGCTTTCTTATAACACCCAGGACCACCAGCCCAGGGATGGCACTATGCACCATGGGCTGGGGAACTCCACCCCCCATTGATCACTAGTTGAGAAAGTGTCTTATAACTGGATCTCATGGAGGCATCTCACCAACTGAGGCTCCTTCCTCTCTGATGACTCCAGCTTATGTCAAGTTGACACACAAAACCAGCCAGTGTGAAGTATATCCTCTCACTGTGGGAAGCGTGGGCAAAGATGACAGTGTTGTTGGTCCCTGCTGTGAACAACTCTGGTGGCAGTTCCTATAGATAGACTAGGCTGTCTGAGACCTTGCCCTGTGTTCCCTACATAAGATGTGGTCCCTATCTAAGAAGTTAAGATGACAGGCACTTCTTGTGCTGTTGGAGGAGTGACTGTTGTCATGTGTAGGTGCATCTGAGGACTGACCACATGGTGCTCCCAGTTTGCCCTGGGTTGCAGAATGATGCTAGAGGTGGACACGTGTCATTTCAGGGCTGGAGCCGAAGGCCCCACTGAAGACTCTGGAGAAAGGGGCGGCTGTGTGCAGCTTACAGGAGAGGACAAGGAGGAGGAAGGAGGAGGAGGCGTCAGACCCCACCTCTGCAGCTGCCCAGCTGTTGCGGCTCCAGGACTGCTTGCCATCCAGCTCTCCCTCCTCTACTAGGTGACTCTAGATGTCTGCCTAACCCTGCCACCTCCTATCTGGAGCACAGGCTGGCATGGATAGGTTGCCCAAGAACCCCCCACACACACTTTGAGAGGTGGCCTGGTGTATGTAACCCTAGACAGCTGTTTGCTGGATCTCAGCAGCCATTCTGAAAGCTCAGGCCCAACATAGTTTATTCACGCTGAGCCCAGGCCTCTGGGCTACATTGGGGTGTGGGAGGGAAAGGCAAGTGGCCACAGAAGGATTGGGTAGCTCACATGTGCTGATCTGTTTTCAGGGTACTCCTGGGGCCAGAGGAAGCCCAGAAGCAGGCAGAGCGGGCCCAAGCACCTATTATACCTTTCGGAGTGGACCTGTGTTACTGGGGCCAGGAGAAGCTAACAGCAGGAAAGATCCTTAAGTGAGTGTAACATATCTGGTTCCCAGAGTCTGAGCACGGCCTGGCCTTGTCTATCTGTGCTCTGGCTCTTAGAACACTGGTGCTTGAGCCTTACTATCGCCTCTTCAGGAGGTACCCGTGAAGTCCATCCGTTACTCAATGTGAAGGAATAGCCCTCCTTGCCATTGTAGCTCCTCCTCAAGATGCAGGAAGCTGTGAGCACAGTGCTAACTGGGTCAGAAGCTGGATTCCTGTGGGGCTATGCCAGCAGAACCCAGGCTGCAGATAGCTCAGAGAAGATAGGGGAGCAGAACACATCTAGGAGTGCAGGTGAAAATGCATGCCGAAGGAAGGAGCCAGGGTGGCTGGAAGAGCCCAGGCCACATTTGCTGGCCCTGTACTTAGCAGCTAGAGCTGGGAGTCTTCAGACTAGTAAAGCCAACAATTGGGTGAACCTCAGACTGGGCTGCCTGCGTGCTAAGCTTACATGGCAGGGGTTGGCACCTGTGAAGTCTAAGGAATAGGAACCAGGTGTCCTCATGTGAAAGTCCTGGCCCAGGGCTTTAAAGTGAGGCTCTATGAGGTTAAATATTGGTACAGTTAGGTTTGTTGTGTGGAGCCTGCCCAAGTTCAAGTCATACCTCTATATCGCTGCTGCCATTGCAGTGCTCTGGTCATTGAATGCTGTTGACCCAATTACAGCCAGGACCAATCAAGATCCTGAACCCCACAACTCTGAGAAATCCACAGAGGTGCCAGCTCTTCCTCTGGGGCATTGGTGCCATGTCAATGCCAGAGCCATATTCTCCCACTCAGTGGCAAAGAGACCCTTGACATGGACTCATGTTACTCTCAAAGCCATAGCCTGAGGGCCCTGGAGCTGCTGTCCTGCTTTGCAAGGAGAATCTGAGCTCAGGCTAGTGGTTATACCCACCATCTTTGGCCAGTTCGTAAACATCAGTATTTGAACCCAGTTGGAGTGATTGTGTTCTCTAGTCCAGGAAGGCCTCAAGGCCACTAGGGGCCAGTGCTCTCCCCAGGGCTGAAGTGCAATTGGGGTGCATTGGGATTGGGCCAGACCCCATCTTTTGGATTCAGAGTAGCCACTTTAAGGATCTCTGGTGCACCTTGCAGATCTGACTCTCAGCACCGCTTCTGGAAACCCAGCGAGGTAGAGGAGGAGGTGGACAGTGCCCATGTTTCTGAGATGCTCCATAGCCGACACATTACCTTTGCGGGGAAGTTTGAGCCTGTGCCGCACCAGTGCCGGGCCCTGAGGCCTAATGGCAAGCTCTGCGAACGCCAAGATCGGCTAAAGGTAAGGCTGCTGGGCAAGGCCATTTGCATGAAGCTACCTCCCCCTCCCAGGGAGAGTCTCGGCCACAGCTAGTGGCCTGGGGAAGTGTTTGTCCTCTTTGCCTTCATTCTAGACCAGGGATACTTGTGAGTCCTGAGGAGCCCTGTAGAAGAGGCCTTATAAGCAGTGTTGTAATTGCTTAGCCACTGACCATCAGAGAATCATGTGTGGGGTTCTCTGCCCTGGGCCCTGACACTGATTTCTAAGGGACTACCAAAACAGCCAGACTGCTGCTCGGCAGCTAGAGCCCTGTGTGGGCTGTCCTGAGCTTGGAGAGGATGTGCATGCGTGCAGACGGTAGCAGAATGGTGAGAGGTTGATTTGGACAGACAGACTTGAGTTCTCAGACTCCTGCTGCTGTCACTCCCCAGATCTGCCCTCCTTGAGGAGGGCACGCGGTTACAGGGCGTGTCTGTGCCCCCCCAGAACTGTTTGTGCTGTCTCCTGACCATCAGCTGCTTTGTGCTTGTTGTATAGTGCCCATTCCATGGGAAGATCATCCCCAGAGATGACAAGGGGCAGCCCCTCAACCCAGAGGACAGAGCCCGTGAGCAAAGGCGGCAGCTCCAGCAGCAGCAGGCACACCCAGGTAGGTGTGTGGGAGCACAGAGGGCTGCAGGTGCAGCCAAGTCGTGGTCACCAAGTTGCAAATTCCCTTGTAACTGAGAAGCAGGTCAGGGATCCATGGGCAAGGTTGGGTATACAGGGCTCGTGAGGTAGTTATCTTCACAGCGGGAATATAGATACTCCTGACTCGATACACCACCATATCAGCATCTGCACAGCGGGATTGAACCCAGAGTCTTTGATATGCTAGGTAAGCTGCAGTCCCCCAGGTTCCAGTTCTTATTCCTGCTTCCTGAGCAGATGATAAAATTGAGGCAGTCTCTTTCCTGATATGGTCCCCCCTCTAATTCTTTCACCTAGAGTCTAGGTGGTATGTCTGCTGGCTCTGACTTGCCCTGCTCAGCTCCAACTAACCTCACTGTCCTGGAAGCTGTGGTCAGCCCATAGAGGACCCTTCTGTAAGGTCTACAGGCCCCTTCATGACTTCTTGCTCTGTGCTCCTGAGATGCAGATTCCTGTTTCATCCTGGGTTGTTCATGTCTGGACTGTATAGCGGCGGGGAGGGCCTGACCTGTTCATCTGCGGGAGAAACCTTCCCTGGTGGCTCACACTCAGGAGCAAATTAAGTGCCTATTTTTGTGTCAACCCTGAAGAGTATCTAGTTTTCCAGCCCTCGGTGGCTTGTTAACAAACAGGTATCAGGCCACGGGCCAAGCCCGGTGCTGGCCAGTCAGATGTGAAATAGCATCTCTTTACTAACTGCAGTATTGATCCCGCCTCCCTCGCACACGGGGCAATTTTCTTTTCCCTGGTGCTAACCTCAGTGACAATGCACACGGTGCTCCAGGGCCCTTCAGCGCCCAGGAAGGCCGCACAGCCCCAGCATCTATTGATTTTCTTCAAAGGCTTTTAAATTGCTCCTTCATTTTCCTGAGGTGCTCATTCCATCTCCACTGGATGCCGGCATTTTTTCGTTGTGTTTAAACAATTGCTCCATTCACCAGGTTCCTAAACTGTGACGCCTTCTTATTACTGGGAGATAAACTGTTTAGACAGTTTTCCTTAATCTTGGATTAATCGTCCCTGTATCTGAATCGTGCAGTCCTGAGTTCCTTCACTTCAAAAAAATCAGCTTGGAGAGGCCAAGCCATCTGTCTGTCTGGCACGCTTGCTTCTCCCTCAGTGGACGGGCTCCTCTCACAGTCTGGCTTGCTGACACCCTTCCCGGGCACTGCTCCTGTCCACTCTGCCCCAGCTCATGGGTCTTTGACATTTGGGTGCCCTTCTGCCCGCGAGGCTCACCCTGGAAGAGTTAGCTTTACTTTGCTTCACTCTTCACTGGGTTGACTTCCCCAAGCCAGACTGGATCAATGTCATGGCCAACGGAGCTTAGGGCAGCCTGTGGAGGTGAGCCAGCAGAGACTGGCTGGGGAGCCTCTGACTCCCAGAAGGGCCTGGTGCTTATTTATATGGCTAACCATCCCAGCAGCCCTACACATGAGCAGTGGTCTTGCCATGGGTCTGGCCTGGTAGTGATGAGGCTGCTCAGTGGGCTGGGTGCTGTCAATTCCCCTCACTTTCTTAGACCCTTGTGGTTACCACAAGTAGTGCCCAGTTCACAAGAGGGGTAGCTCTGCTCCGCACTCTGAGGCCTAGAAGAGAACCCATTTCTAGCCTGACATACACCTTGCCTCACATGCCCATTTGCCAGCAGATATGTCTGAAAGTGCTGCAGTTGGCCTGACTGGCCTGGCTGACCTTGTTGGCCATAACCCAGCCTGCAGCTTGGGAAGTAGCCTGTAGACACTCTGACTCCATGGTCAATGGCTTTGAGTATTGATTGCCCTGCTGGAGTGGTCAGGAATGCCAGTGCTGTTGGGCTGGGCCTGCCTGGAACCCTCCGGATTCTACGGAACTAAGTAATGGAAGCAGGGCAGTGGGAATAAGGGAAGGGATGTCCCTGTGTGGATCTCATCCCCAAAGTAGCCAGGTCACCCAGCACAGATGCTGTCAGACTGTGATACCGGAACATGCAGCAGGCAGGCTCCAGCCCTCCCTCCATCAGGAAGAAATCCACAAGGGTCACCCCTGGCTGGTGCCAGGCACCTTTTTAAATCCACAAGTTTTGTTCAGATTGGCAGGACCCTGAGTTTATGAAGGACATGGAGGCAGCCACGGGGGTGGACCTCGGCTCATCGAAGTATAGCAAGAAGGGCAAAGGGAAAAAGAGGAAGCACCCCAACCTCACTGACCTGCGAGAGCGCGCCAACACCACCCGGGCCCGCCTGGAGAAGAAGGTCTTTGCCAAGTAAGAGCTTGTCACTGGCCAAGGCCTCAGACTTTGATCTAGGATATGTTGGGGGAGAGCCACTGGAGTTGCCAGGAGCTCCTGGTGATTCTGTTAGTCAAGGTAATAATCAGGATTAGCCATCACAGTGACCTCCAGCCCTGACCAGTGGCAGGCCATACCAAGAGCTGCTTGGGAACAGAGCTGCAGCTGGTTCCTTGAGTTCCTCCTCCTAGGAGTCCACAGCACCTCTCTGTAAGTAGAGCCAGTTACAGCAAAATGGTCCTAAAAGGCCAGATGCTGACTTTGCTGTGCCCCGGGTTAGTACCATGCTCACAGGAGGGGTAACTCTGCTCTGTACTCTGAGGTTACAGGAGTAACCTGAGGAAAGACAGACATAGTGTCCATCACTGCTGGGTCCAGATACTTCATCAGAGTACTGGTCAGTAAGCTCCTTGAGCAGCCTTGGGTGGGGTGGAGGCTGAGCCACATAGGCTGCCTGCCTTCTCATTGTTCTCCTTCTGCTGAATCCCCTGACCTCTGGACATGGTGGCCGTGTTCACTGTGCCTTCACCCTGGGGTGCAGTCTGGGATGAGCAAGTGTGCTCTTGCAATTGCCTTCAAGACTGGGAGATACAACCAAGACCGATGGTGGGTTATAGCTCAGACTGGTGAGCCCCACTCTGTCTGAACCCCACCTTATAGAAGTCTAATACCCACTGGAAGCCTTTATGAGGGCCAAAGGCAACAAGCCAGAACCCAGAGTCTTTTCAGGTCCTTAGTCATACCTTACTGTGCTCTCTCCATAGGGCAGCTGTGCAGAGAGTAGTTGCTGCCATGAACCAGATGGACCAGAAGAAACATGAGAAGTTTGCAAACCAATTTAATTATGCACTGAATTAAAAGGGTGTGGGATGAATGTGCTGTGGCCCCCTTTGAGCCTTTCACCAGTTTACTAGGATAGGAGAGTAGGTTTAGGTCTGGGTTGAATCAGAACTTGTTTTTATGTATGTAAGTAACAATGGAAAACAATACATTAAAATGCTCTCCAGTAGGCCAGGGAATGTAGCTTAGCAGTAAGGCCAGGGTTTGGTTTTCAACTATTTTAACCATGCACATGATACCACACTTATAATCCCAGCTCTTGGGGACATAAACAGGACTGTGAGTTCTAGGCCAGTATGGATTACAGAGCAAGGCTGCTTGAAAAACAACAAAAAGATGTCTGAGGTGATACACACGTAATCCTGGCACTTAGGAGACAGAGCAGGAGAATCAACACAAGTTAAAAACTAGCCTAGTATATGTAGTAAGGTACAGGCCAGCCAGACTTTGTAAGGAGAGTGTGTTTTGGGGGGGTGAGGAGAGGCCTTCAGAATAGCCTACCACAAGGAGTCAGGGGTAAAGGCAGATACCCCATCTGGTTGCAGGTCAGGCCTTGGGCAATAAGTGTGTCTCCATTAGGACTGTGGACTTTATGATGGCTTTAGAAACTCACCCTTTCATGCACACGCTGTTTAATACAGATGTTCAACTCTAGCACAAAGCTCTGTGGAATGGCTCTGTTGAGCCCTAACTCACATATCATGCAGCCCACCTAGTATATGCACAGACAATATCTGCTTCCAGAACTTTAACTCCTAGGACAAATTGCCTGCAAACCCCGCCCCTAAACCCCCTTTTTGTTTGAGGATTTGTATTTTTCTAGAATAATTAATTAGGTCTGTGGCTTTTTGTTTTTATGTTTTGTTTTTTGAGATGTGGTCTCTTTATATAGTTCTGACAGTCCTGGAGCTCACTATGTAGTCCAGGCTGGCCTCAAACTCAGAGATACTCCTGCCTCTGCCTCTTGAGTACTGAGATTAAAGGTGTAAAGACATGTACCACCACTCGTGGCTGAGTCCATAGTTTTGTTTCTGGTTTCTTTCCCTTTGTTTTAAGGTTCTTCCATGTTGTAATACATACCAGTACTTCATGTCCACCAGACCAGCCAGGCCTACAGAGAATGCTAGAAGCAATACTTTGGACTGAAGAGAGGAATAAGCATAGTTACGAGAATACAGAAAGGAAACAAGTGAAGCTGTAATTACTAAAACACAAAATAGGACAAAGAATACAAAAATCAAAACAACAGTAGCCAACACACACCTTAAATGATAACTTTATAATGGCCTCAGCTCCCCAATCAAGAGATACCTGTTAGTTGGATACATTAAGAACTCATCTTCAAAGATCAGGGCTTCCTTAAAGTGGAGGATGTAAGAAAGTATTCTAAGCAAATGGGACCAGAAGCAAGCAGGTCACTACCTTTCTATGTTTATTTTTTAAGACTTTTTTTTTGGTCTCAATATGTAGTCCTGGCCTGCTATTTAAACCAGGTGGGCCTTGAACTCACAGAGACCTGCCTGCTTCTGCCTTTCAAGTGGTAGAATTAAAGCCACGTGCCACCTTGACTGGTCAGTATTTATTGCTGTTTTAATATCTGACAAAATAACCAGGTAGTGGTGATGCATGCCTTTAATCCTAGCACTTGGGAGGCAGAGGCAGTTGGGTCTCCATGAGTTCAAGGCCAGCCTGGTCTGTATAGTGAGCTCCAGGACAGCCAGGATTACATAAAGAAGTGCTGTCTTGAAAAACATATATATTTCAGACTAAAAGTAATCAGAAGAGATAAAGAAGGACACTTCATTCTAATCAAGGACAGTTGACCAAGAATATATCACAGTTCTGTATGCACCAAACTCTGGCCCGCCCAATTTCATAAGAAACATACTATTGAACTTAAAGACACAGATTACTCCAATTCAGTAGTAGTGGGTGATTTCAGTATTCCTCTTTCTCCAGTAAACAGGTCACCTGAATGAAAAAAATAAACAGAAACATCAGAATTAAGTGATATCATACATCAAATGGAACTAAACAATATATACAGAATGTTTCACCCAAACACTAAACAATATACATTCTACTCAGCAGGCCATGGAAACTTCTTTAAAATAGATCACATAGACCAGGAGTTGGTGGCACGTGTCTTTAATCCAAGCACTCAGGAGACAGAAGCAGACAGATCTCTAAATTTGAGGCCAGCCTGGTCTACAGACTGACTTCCTGGACAGCCAGGGCTACACACAGGGAAATGCTGTCTTGAACCACCCCCCAAAAAAATTCAGAAAAGCATTAAATAAATGACTTAATTATGTAATTCAATAGTTTGGAAAAACAAGAACAAACTAAACCCAAATCCAGTAAAGAGGAATAAATAATAAAAACAGCATAAATTAATGAAATCAAAAGAAAACAATACAGAGAATGAATCTAAAAGCTGATTCATTGACAAGCTTCAGCAGATCCTTGGTCCAACTAACCAAAAGAAGCAAAGATATGATTCAAATTAATAGAATTAGAATTGAACAGAGAAACAACAAATACCAATGAAATTCAGAGTACTACAGGAAATACTTTTTTTCCTTAATTCAAATACTTTATTTTTTATATCCAAGTTAGATTTTTTATTTTTAAATTTAAATTAGAAACAACGTTGCTTCAGATGTCAATCCCAGGTCCCTCTCCCTTTCCCTCCCCTCCTCCCACACCCTCCCACCAACCCCCCCCCCAATATTCCCTCCTTTCCCCAGGGAGGGTGAGGCCCTCTATGGGGGTATCCATAGTCTGTCATTTTATCCAGGGCAGGGCCTAGACCCTCCCCCAAGAGTCCAGGGTGAGAGTGCATCTCTCATTGTGGGATGGGCACCCAAAGTCTATTTGTACGCCAGGGATAAATAATGATCTACTACCCAAGGCCCCACAGATTGCCTAGGCCTCCTCACTGATACCCACATTCAGGGGTTCTGGGTCAGTCCCATGCTGGATTCCTAGCCATAAGCCTGGGGTCCAAGAGCTCCCCCTTGTCAGGTCAGCTGTTTCTGGGGGTTAAACCAACCCAGTCTTGACCCCTTTGCTCATCAGTCCTCCCTCTCTGTCACTAGGTTCCTTGAGTTCAGCTTAGTATTTACCTGTGGGAGTCTGCCTCTGCTTCCATCAGTCGCTGGATGAAGGTTCTGTTTCCCAGACTCTCTGGCCATGGGATTGTATGCTGGCACTCCCCAGATCTATGTCTAAAATACAGGGAACACTTTCAAAATCTATTCTCCATTAAGTTAGAGGCTGCAGGTGTGGACAAGACACACAGATTGCACACCTACACGCAAGCAAAACACTCATGCATACATTTTTTAAAAGAGTTTTTGTTATGTGATTGGTGTTTTCCCTGCATATATGTCTGTGCACCATGTTTATCCTGGTTCCTATTGCAGCTGGAAAAGGTGGATCACATCTCCTGGAACTGGAATTACGGTTGTTACTGGTTTTGTGGGTGCTGGGAATTGAGTCTGAGACTCTGGAAGAGCAGCCAGTATTCGTAACTGCTGAGCTGTCTTGTATCTAGCCTCTCTCTTTGTTGTTGTTAGCAATCTTAGTGGAAAGTATACCTTATAATTTTGATTCTCACTTTTCTATTTTTGGTTGTGAGCCTAGCCTTTAATGGCTGAGCCATCTCTCCAGCCAGATTCTCACTTTTCTAATGACTAATAGCAGTATATGTCTATTGGCCACTTGTATCTGCTCAGATAACTTCCAGTTTTCTATTGAGTTGTCTTGTAGGAGCGTCTGTAGATGTTCTAAAACTGCATTCCCTATGTAATGTTTTCTCCTTGTCTCTTCACCTTGATAGTACCCTTTAAACGTCTTAATCTTTTTAAATTACATTGTGTGTGTGTACATACACACACGTATGTAAGGAGGTCAGAAGACAGCGTTCAAGAGTCCATTCTCTCCTTCAACCATGGGATTGAACTCAGATCGGAAGGCTTAACAGCAAGTGCCTTTGCTCACTGAAACCATCTCACTGGCCCCAAAGTTTTTCATTTTAATAAAGTACATTTATATATTTATTCTTGTTTGTGCTGTTGTTACCATTTCTTACACACACACATTTTACTTATATGTATTGTTCAATTTCAAGCCACAGAGATTCACTCCTAGGTATTCTTCTGAGATTTTTATTTGTTTTGTTTGTTTTGTTGAGACAAGGTCTCTCTACATAGCCCTGGCTGTACTGGAGCTCACTATGTAGACCAGGCTGGCCTCCAACTCTGCCAGCCTCTTGCCTCCTGAGTGCTGTAACTAAAGGAGTGTGCCACTACACCTGGCTGTCTTCTGAGAATCTATAGTTTTAGCTCTTACATATAAAGTTTTGACCCATTTTGAACTAGGTTTCGTGTGTACTGTGAGATAGGACCAGCTTCATTGTTTGCATTCAGGACTCTAGCTGTCCTTCCACCTTTGGTGAAAAGGTTATCCTTTCCCTTTAAATCATTTTCTTATTGCTAACCATTGTAATCATTGGCCAGTTAGGGTCACTTCAGCTATGATGAAACACCGTGACCAAAGCAGGTTGGAGAGGAAAGGGTTTATCCAGCTTATGTTTCCACATCACAGTTCATCATCAAAGGAAGTCAGGACAGGAACTCAAGCAGGACAGGAACCTGGAGGCAGCAGCTGATGCAGAGGCCATGGAGGGGTGCTGCTTACTGGCTTGCTCAACCTGCTTTCTTATAGAACCCAGGATCATCAGCCCATAGCACCTCCCTCAGTGGGCTAGGCTCTCCTCCATCAATCACTAATTAAGAAATACAGGCTTACCCTTCAACCCAGTCTTATGAAGACATTTTTCTAAATTGAGGCCCCCTCCTCTCGGATAACTCTAGATTGTGTCGAGTTGACATAAAACTAACTATACACCTGGATGTGGGCTTGTGGTTTGTTTCGGGCTCCTGTTTCTTCTCCCATTGACATCCACAGCAATGCCAAAACTGTGGCCCTTAGTTACTGTAGCCACATGGTAAACTTGGGACCAGATAGGTGTGAGCATTCCTACTGTTATGCTTCTAGATTTGGCTTTTCTGAGTCCATATATTTCCAAATGAATTTTAGGATCAATGTCTCAGTTTCTGCCCTACCTCCCAGAAGATAAAATTTTGATAGGGATTTAATTCATCTTAATATCACTTTGGGAAATTGTGACTTCCTAATACTAAGACTTATGAGTCATGAACTTCTGGTAGCATTCCGTTTAATAGAATTGTTTATTTTTAGTGTTTTACAGTTTTTTATACGTCACGTTTTTAATCCCTACGTAATTTAATACTTTTATACATATGATTGTTCTAAGTTCTGTGTTTAGAATATTTGTTGCTAATGTATAGAAATACACTTGATTCTTTACTTTGATCTTGTATCCTGCCACTTTGTGAAGCTTTTCTGTTAACTCTAATAATTATGTGTATTTTTTATTTTTATTTTTAAATTTACATTTAAATTTAAACAAGGTTGCTTCACATGTCAATCCCAGGTCCCTCTCCCTTTCCCTCCCCTCCTCCCACGCCCTCCCACCAACCCCCCCCCAATATCCCCTCATTTCCCCAGGGAGGGTGAGGCCCTTCATGGGGGTGTCCATAGTCTGTCATTTTTTATGTGTTCCT